TCATTGATTACAAAACTAGTAGCAATAATTCCAGCCTAAATATATGCAATTCAGCTCTGGCTTTGTTTTAAAGTTACCAAAAACATTTACAATTACTACTATAACTATCATTTTGAACATATCCCTACTTTCTTTTTCATTGTCTTACTCTCCCCTATTCTCACCTTTCCTCCCCCACCCCTCACTCTTAGGAGTCCTTGACCGTTGTTGTCGATTAAAAAAACAAACTTTTTGGTTCGAGCCATCACTTTAATACCTCAACAATCCTTCAACAAACACTATTATTTCACTCTGTCACCCTTTTGCCTCTCCTATTCTTCTTTATTCTTTATCCTTATATGTCCCCTCTTAAAAATGTACCTATTTTTTTTTAAATAAATTGAAAAAAGGAAGTGATGTTCCACATGCGGCCTGCTTACAAACAAAATTGTTCATAACCATTTTGGTTCTCACTAGTCAAGGTGCAACTAAATGCACTGAAACAAAGTTGCATCTTTGTCATGAGTAAACTGTTTTTGTCTATATGGAAAATTAATAAATATTTATTATTCTACTATCGGTATTGAGCACTCTTAGCTGTGAACATTAGAATTTATATATTTTATTTTTACATTCGGATTACATTATATATATATATATATATATATATATATATATATATATATTCTTCCTGCTTAGTATAAATCCTGCCCTCTGCTTGAACTTTCTTGAACTCTTCATCATGACCTACATTTGAATCCTTGCCCAAGCTCGGACTTGATGTTCCAATTCACATACATGTTTTCCTAAGTATTAATAGCAACAGTAAACCAATTGTTTTTAAATTATGTATTCTCTCCTCCATTTTCAATCAAATTCATACCATAACATCCATAACAATACATTGGTGACCCTGAAATACACAGTTTCACAACTGTTTCTTCTATTTATACACTCTTTAAACAAACCACAGAGATAAACAAGAATATAATTTTGCTTGCTTTATAGAAGAAGAAGTAACATTCTTCTGTCTAGTTACTTCAGTAGACCAATGAGTAAGAAATGCATGACCTTTGGCATGATAACCCTGGAATAAGTCCAGACCAAATCTAATTCCTTTATTTCTCTTCTACTTTTGGTTTCATTTTTCACCATATATTTAAATAGCATGGATAGTCTTTATGATAAAAAGATTGAACAAGAGAAAAATTATTCCATTCCAAGTATGCTGACAGAGAAAAGCAGATATTTTTCATTCATTTTTTTTTCTCTCTTTCTCTCTTGCTGATATTACTTAGTTGAGCTTAGTGCTGCCTAAAGGATGCATGAGTAGTATAACAGTTAGTGAGTCAGAAAGAGAAATTCATGAGCTGAGTTTGAATTCACTTTTATAAGTAAAGGTATAAATCTAACTCTTCTTCCTCGTTTTATGGGTTAAATAGTAAGGCAGATTGAGCTCTCTAATCTGAGATAGCAACTAGTCTAAAAGGAAAATCCTGAATTAAAAACCAACCTGAAGAAGGATGAGCTCCCACAAGCTATCTTTCTGTAGATAATTGGCAGACCAGCCAGCATATCAGCTTGCCCAATGGCAAGTGCCACCTGATGGAGTGTACCCATTATATCAACTAAAATGCAGTAAAGAAACAAGCACAGACAACTGTTTTAATAATATTATAAACACACATATTGTATCATGAAAGAACAAATGAAAAAACAAGTATCTCCTACCCATGTGAGATGAAAGGAAATGAAGATAACAATCTGTCTATATTTCTGAGATGAGGTGTTATGTACATTATTTACATTATTTGGACTATTGTCCTCATATTTGTCACCATATTTATTACAATGTTTCAGCTGTTGTACGCTCCGGCCTTCTTCAGGTGGTTGGAATGTCGAACTGAACCCTTTATTTCGCTCATTGGGGTAAACTGTTCTAGTTCCACGTGCCATGTTTAATGGATGTCAGTTATCAGTTATCTCCTATTAATTTCCCTCTGAAAGTTCTCCACTGCCTTAGCCGAGTATTGAACTCACACTCTTTGGGTCCAGTTCGACATTCCAACCACCTGAAGAAGAATGCAGTGTACAATGTCTGAAACATTGTAATTAAATATGGTGACAAAGATGAGGACAACAGTCCCAATAATGTAAATAATGAAGATAAGAATCATTAATATAAAATTCTTTATATTGCTGATACAGAGGATGTCAATGGAATATCTATGATATGTTTATTGGGCTAGTTGCCTGAGGTCCCGTGTGGTGACACTGAGAACTTGCCAGATGTCAAATGCTAGCCTGTATGCTGTGATTTTGTCATGATCATTTGTGAGTGGCTTTTTTAAAAGCTGTTGCTTTTGTGTGGTGGCTCCTAGGCTCATTTTTTTTCATGTTTTATTCTTTGGTGGCAACATTCATTTTTTTGAGAGGATTTGTTTCAGGGGCCAGATGTGATACTGAGAGCCCCTGTGCAGAGGATGATTTTTTTTTTATTTTAGTTTTGATTTCTTAGCATTCACATCCTGCTGACATTTAAAGTGAATCAGAAAGAGATATAACTTGAAGCAGAGTATAACAGAAATAAAAAGGGATAAGAACTTCGTAAAGTCATCTGTACACTATCAGTTCCTCAAGTTCAATGTGAGAAGAACCTTTTAAAGCTAAAGATCATAAAAACAAGGTTAAGAAATTTCCTCTCTGAGGAGAATTTGGAATTATACATGTTGGTATTCATTGAAAATAATTGTTAAATGAATTGGATTCAGAAACAATTATTGGTAGGTTCAAACAATCATCTAGGGAACACAAACAATTGCTCTTAATATAGTGAACTGCATGCAATGCTCTATTATGCTTTTGAACTATCTGTTAATGCATAAATTGGGCAGTAAACTATTTTGAAAACATCAGCCAATTACTTAAAATTAAAAAAAAATTAATTAAAAATTAAACTATAACATTATGTATTTACATTTGGTATATACTGCCAGTAATATGTACAGTACATGTACACTGCAATTATGTTTTTTTCATTAATTTTCCATAAATATTTTAATTGTATTCTTTTTACCATGTGTATTTTTTGAAAATTTTATTTATTCATTATGAAAATTAAATGATAGTATTATAGTTATGGTTGGACCCCTTTGTCTCCTGGCAACCAATATTTTTAGACCCAGTCTGCCACAGACTGTAGACACACCATTATTGTGATGGGTGTAGTATATGTGGTACCTCTACAATCATAATCAACTTGTGATATTATAAAGTATAAAGTCATTTTTAAAGTTTTAACTAAATGAATTTAAAACTCTGCCTTTAGATTTATTCCTACAAATCCCAAAACATCTGATGTTATTGATATTTGTAAATTAGTTTAGTCCAGTTTTGTGCATATGAAGACTATATTGAATCTGTTGTTAGATCAGCTGCTAAGAATTTTTCTCTCCAGAATCTATCTTACATATCTATAAGTCTACCATTTGTCCATGCTTAGAATATTGCTGCCACATATAGTCTGGTGCACCTGCTATTTACCTTTACCTTGAGCCCCTTGATAAAATGCAAAGAAGCAATATTATTGATCTTGATTTGGTGGTTCAGCTTCAATCACTTTCCCACTGCCATAAAGTTTCCTCCCTGTGCCTTTTTTTATAAATACTTTCATGGCAACTGCTTGGATGAGCTCTTTACTAGAGTACCTAGACTTTATGAATATATGTGCAGTATTAGACTGGCAACAAGGTCTCATCGATATATAGTTGAGTTGGTTAGATGTAACCATAAATTTTATACTAACAATTTCTTTTCTTGCATTTCTCACTTGTGGAACTCTCTTCAGGCTCCATGCTTTCCATTTGACTTTAATCTTCAAAAATTTAAATGCAATGTCTATCCCTATCTGCTGTCTTCTTGATTACTCATCTTTTGTTCTCTCTCCCTAGCAATGTTTCTGTTTTCTAATTCTTCTACAGCAAGTAACCTCTTGTGTCTCAGTGGCTTTACTGCCTTGCTTGGGGTGAACTTGATTAAAAAAATTAAAAGGATATCTTAGCTCAGTGGCTGGCAAGATAACTTTTCTAACTATTGCTCCATAGTGAGGCAAGCAATTGAGATTTACTAATCTCCATGGCTAATCTTAATAAATATTTACCTTTCTTAGTGGGTTGTGTGTATTCCAATGAATCCAGTGGTCAGTGTACAAGTCCAGGTAAAAGGCAGGCATTTGAATGCTGATTTTCAAACAGGCAAGCACTGAATTTTGAAAGTGATTTTCTTATATCCATTTGCCTATTTAAACTTGTGACTTAAGGTTGATTGCAGTGGATATGGTCAGAAGGGTGCTTATGGGTGCAGACATACAGTGAGACAACTACCCACAAGTAGAAAAGTGAAACAAGAGGAAAGAATACCTATCACCGTTAAATTGTTGCCACTCTTTGACATACAAGGCAAGTGGTATTGTCTGTGCTAGCAGTAAAAGAAATAAGCTGTTGATGAATAATAAGAAGGGTTTTCAGTTCCATACATCATTTTTCAATCAATGTATGCACAATAAGATTAAGAGGAAAGAGTGTGTCTTAAAGTCTCTATAAAAAAACATAGTTTTAAAAATGTTAACTTCAGTGTAATAGACCATTTTGAGCATACTAAGAGTAATGGTAATGGTAATATTAGCTGTTTCCTTATAATAAAGTCAGTTTAAACTTCTACATAGTAGTAGAGTTTGTGTTAAAATTGATTGATTCATTCATTTCCTATGGTTTATCAACCCTTTAAAATTATTTAAAGCCAGAAAATAGTTTTAGATTGTAAGAATTTGTTTCAAGATAATAATGGTTTAGTGATACAAATCCTACTAATTAACCTGTAACTGGGGGGAGAAGAGGTAGATTCATACCTTTCCAAAAGGTATTTGCATGCAAGTGAATATAACAAACTCAATGGGGATTGGAACTCGACTCTCCGATTAACAATTCCAAGCCATTATCCATTACATTAGCCACACATCCAAGCTTACAGCAGCTGATATTCCCAAGCGGTCACCAATCTAGGTAATGACCAGGTTCAACGTTGCTTAGCTTCAGTGATCATACAGGAACTGGTGTTTCAATGTGATGTGGCCATTAGCCTTGTGTTAAAAGTTGGACAAAGTGACATGTGCTTGTCAGCACTTGCAAATGTTCTCTGGTAGTGCAGAAATTTTCAGCTTTTTAAAAGCTTGATGAGGATTGCAAAAGAGCACTTTTGGCTTTAGCAATCTTATTGGCTACAATATCTTTTGGTCTATTTTTTTTTCTGTTATAAACATGTGTATGGTAGCATGATAGAACAAATGGAACAAGTACTACCTGGTGAGGGAAAAGGAAAAGAAGACAAAAACTGTTAATATAAAATTATTTGTATTTCCGATACAGAGGATGTGAGTGGAAAGTCTGTAATGTGGGCAAGGGTGGCAGCTTTTAAAATAAGGGTAGAGTTGGTAAGGCCTAGAGTTGATATGTTTGTCAGGTCAGTTGGCTGAGGTCATGGGTGGTGATGCTGAGAGCTTGCCAGGAGTCAACAACTGGACCAGTCACTGTGATTCTCTCTTTGCCAATACAGAGGATGCAAGTGAAATGTCTGTATTTAGGTATGATTGGAGGAAGATGGGTCTCATGTGGATATATGATATGTATATTGGATTAGTTGATGGGAGTCTACCAGGCAGCTGGCCCGTTCGCCATGATTTGGACCAAATTGTTTATGAGTGACTTCTTTAAAATTGTAGAGGCTCCTAAGTTCTTTTGTTCATGTTTTTTCTCTGGTGGAAATGTTCATGATTGGCTTATTTTATGTTGTCATTTCATATTTTTAAGGGTATTTGTTTTGTGGGCTGAATGTGATGCTTGGACCCCCTGAGCCGAGGAAGACATTTTTTTTATTTTTTGTTTTGCTTTCATAGTGTTTACATCTGGCTGACATGGAGAATGAATCAGAAAGTGACACATTTTTAGTCATTTATCCTTTAGCTACAGAAGTGTTAATTTTTGATTTGTGTCCTGATCCCTACAAATCCACCTAACTGAGTTTGAAACTTCAAGTGTACAAAACTTGCTAAGGAAAACCAAGTTTTCAACTGGCTTTTAATCTCTACTTTTCAAAAACTGAACTTTTGCACATATCTAATAATTAAGCTTAAAGTAACTATCATGTTGACTGAATTTGCTTCAGACAAATCAACAAAGGAAAGGGACGTTATTTATATGAAGTGATTTATGTGACTAATAAGTTAGCTTAATAAGGAGGACAGTTAAATAAAAGCACAGGAATAAGAAGATTGTGTTGTTTCAGTCTTCCAAATAGAGTGACAGTTTGCCATGAAAATCAGTATTCAAATACATGGCTTTCTCTTGGGCTCAAACACTGACTACTAAATCCACAATCTTCTATGTGCTGTCTCCATTCAGGATGTGGGCAATTGTGGATCGCCACAACTTCTGGTCCTTTGTAGCTCTTAGCAGTGTTTATCTTTTTGTTATCTCTCCTAATCCCTGTTTTCCCAACCATTTACACAACCACATTATTCTCTGCTTTCCTCTGTCTCTCTTGCATTCAATCTATCCCTTGAGTATCAAATTATCTAAGCCTTCTTTCCTTATGTGCCCTTGAAATTTGAAATGTCTCTTTCTGATGCTAAGTATGTGTTCTTTTTGTTCCCATTTTCCACAAAACTTTATCGTTGCTCACGTGTTCAGTTCATGGTATATTCATTACCATATAGGAGGACCAATATTACATAACAGTTCAGTAATCTTTTCTTTGTTTCAAATGAAATTTTCCTTTTTGTTAATACTTTGCTTAACTTTTGGAAGGCAACTTTCTCTGTTTCAATGTGCCTTCAGATTTTGGTGTTGCATTTTCTGTCCTTTGTTAAAACACTGGATATTTAAACTTTTATACTCATTTGATTCGGGTGTCTTGAATTTGTAATTCATTTGTTGAGCTCTTCTTTTTACTGGCAACCATACATTCCACCTTCTTACAATGGATGGTTAGTCCTTTCTTCTTGCTTTCCTTTACTACCTTTTGTAAGAGTGCCTGTAGCTTCCTTTCTTTGCCTGCTCCCAACAATGTGTCAGCTAATATTACTAAAATTGTGGGCACCAATAATGAATCCTGGTAGAACTTCTAATTCTCTTAGAATCACCTCACTGTAAAGATTGAATAAGTTTGATAAGAAGACACATCCTTGTTTTACACCCCTTTCTATTTTTGTGTATTTATTGAATTTATTATTATCATTTTACTCCAAGCAAGGCGATAATGCCAATAAGTTGCAAGCAGTTATTGGGAGTGAAAGAGAATGTGAAGACTTAAGTGATGAGAAAGAACAATAAAATAGGATTCAGGAAGACAGATGATGGTGATTTAAATTTTTGAAGATTGTAGGTGGCAGGAAAGAAACAAACCAGAAGAGAGTTCCACGGGTGAGAAGTGCGAGAAAAGAAACTATTAGAATAGAACTTATAGTTACATCTAGCTATTTCAACACTAAAATGAGACCTAGTTACCAATCTAGTCAGTTATATGCTATGTGTGATACATGCTTAGGCAATCATGTATCTTTTGATACATAAATGACGAGGCAAATTTTTTTCCCGCAGTAGGTTGCCATTTCTTTCTGTGGTAGACCAGTTGCCATCCAAACCTATCGAACCTGATCTGTCCTGCTATTTACCCATAGCTGGGGGGGGGAGAAGAAGAGGATTTATTCCTTTCCTAAGGGTATTAGTATGTAAGTGAATATAATGGTTTTGACTGGAATTCAAACTTGGCTCTCTAATTCCTAAATCCGAGCCGCTATCTATTACTTCTCCCATTCTAGTCTAGTAGTATATTTAAATTCATGTGGCCAGGGTACCAAGAAAGAAAGCTCATCAGAACAATTGCCATAAAAATATTTATAGAAAAGACAGAGGAAAGCCACATTATGGTGGTGGGAAAGTAACTGAATTTGAGATGCCAGATCAGGACCAATGACATTACAGAGTCTTCTTTGCATTTTATCAAGAATCTCAAGATATATAGCAGGAGCACCAGACCAGATATGGCAGCAATATTCAATGCATGGAAGAATGGTAGATTTATAAATATGCAAGATGGATTCTGACAAGAAAAAATTGTCTGGTACAACAAAATTTTTCTAGCAGTCGAACTAGAAAATGATTTAATATAATCACTGTTCTTCATATCAGTGGAAAATATGAGCCCAAGGAGGTGCAAAGATTTGTTCTGAAGATAGCATCAGCCAAGGCTGATGGCAGGCAGAAAAGGTTTTCTATAGTACTAAAATTTAATAACAACAGCAGAAAAAAAAAATCAGGGAATTCAGTCTCCATTTTTTAAAGCAGGAGCATAAACAACATTGACAGTTGTATGTTGTTGTCAATAGGGCACACTTTGATGAAGCCTTGCTTTACAAAACTAATTTTTACTTTTCCATAACTTACAGTTCAAAACATTTGGAGACAGTCTAATAAATTGCACTGATTGTAAATGGACATTCTTTCCTTAAAGATATGTTTGGTCAGCATGTCAAGAACCCCTTTAAATTTACTTTGTATGCATTCTGAACAAAACATGTTTTTTATCTCTCAGCTATATTTACTTTTGGTAAGCTAGATTTTAGTTTCTTTTATATTGTATATGTACACTGTAGGTCAAATGTTTAGACCCACCCTACAGATTTCAAATAATCATCTAAATATTGTAGGTTTCATACCTTTTTCAAAATTAATTTACTACCTCACTTCGGGTCAGAGGGACTTTCTCTCCCTGAAGGATTTTGTCATATATTCAATGATAATAATAATCATAATAATAATAATGATAACCCATTACTACATAAAGTTTTCTTCAAATTTTAAGTCTTTTTGCCTAATTCACCTTGCTGGATAACGGTTGGCAGATTTAAAATTTTTGGTAAGCCTCTCTCTAGAGAATTAGATGACATGCATCCTAGCTTAGTCAGAGTTAATTAAACCAAAGAAGGTATGAAACTTACTGATTTTTCAAAATCCAGATAGTAACTGAAACTTTTAGCTTATAGTGTACATTTCCAAAAGTTTTTTCAGCATTAATTTTAAAAAAAGTAATTATATTTGAGCATCAGAAACTTTGAAAATTATTTTGGAAACTTAAGTGTTACCTGTTAATGTTTTAATATGAGGAATATACTTGTGCCATTGTGGATCAAATTAAAATTTGTCACTTTTGGTCATCTATGCTTCAAATGTTTCATGAGATGTTGGTAAATTTAAGTGGATTTTCAGCATATATAAATAAGGAAAAATGAAAATAGTGTGATATGTTTTGTTACTTTTAGTCATCCATAATTCAGCTGTTCCAGGAGATGCCAGTAAATTCAAGCAAGGTTTCATCACATATGAGTAAGGTAAGTTGAAAGCATAGCATGACATTAAGTGTTCCAAGAATTCCTCAATCCGAGCCGCTAGGAGAAGGCATGGTGGAGTAATGGATAGCAGCTCGGATTGAGGAATTGGAGAGCTGAGTTCAAATTCCAGTTGAATCCATTACATTCACTTACATGCTAATACCCTTGGGAAAGGTATGAATCTTCTTTTTCTTCCCCCAGCTATGGGTAAATAGAAGGACAGACTGGGTTCTATAGCCTTGGATGACAACTGGTCTACTGCAGAAAAAAAATGGCAACCTACTGCGGGAAAAAATCTGCCTCGTCAGTCATGTATTGAAAGCTACATGATCGCCTAAGCGTGTATTATGCATGGCACATAACTGACTGAAGCTGTAAATAATCATACAGTGCTTTTTTATGATCATCCATCACTTATATTATTTCTACCTAAGACTGTTTTTTTACATTTATATAAGTAGAGGAGTAATTGTTCTCAATAACATGGTTAATTGAAATAAGATCTCTATAATTTGTTGCAAAGAGAAAATAGTGATATAATGAAGATGTTGACTACCTTAAACAAAAGATTAGGCTGGCATTTTTAGTTTCAGACACTTTCCCACCATTGTAACATAGATTCCCTGTACCTTTACTATAAATATTTCCATGGTAATTGTTCTGATGAGCTTTCTTCCCTCTTTGGTACCT